TTGCATTGAAACACACAACTTCCAATCCTTAGCAAAACGTGATCGTGTACACGACACAAAATGGCTAAGCTTTGAGGAATAAAGTGTTTCATAAAGAATATTACATTGACTTCAAGTCAATGTTCTAACTCCTAAATGAAAATGCCATAGAATGAGATCCTTACCTGAAAATTGTCTGGACTCTATTTAAATACTTATTAGGATTTTTTTGAAAACCCTATTGCTGAGTTATGACACATTGCACTAAGTTGGAACAGCTACAGGTCAAGTGTAGCGCTTTGCCAAGACGGAAGCCAAGTCTCAGACAGTGTTGTCAAATGCTAACATGTTGCTTTGATTCTTCTCAGCATATTTTGAGCTCATGCTATTTACAGCCTTCGCTTTGCCCAATATGCTGAAATTGTAACCTCTTAGATAAAGTATATGAAAAATAGAGCGTCTTGCAGAAATCCATTTCTCACATATGCAGTCCTGGATATTCTTCACACTGCAAAGAACACATACCGTGTTTCTCCGAAAATAATACAGGGTCTTATATTTATTTTTCCTCCAGAAGACACCCTGGGGCTTATTTTCAGGGGATGTGTCATTTTTCTTTAAGTACGGTACAACCATCCACATTGATTCAAATAGAGTGAAGTCGTCTTCTTCTGGAACATCATCCTCACTTTCCAAACCCCGAATCCCATCCTGAATTCTTGCGACTCTATTTCCTTTAGAACCACTGGCCCGATCTCTCATGTGGAGCACTAGAGCTGTCGTGGGGCAGCTGAGAAGGGCTGCTCGTGTGCTGCTCGTGTTCTTTCCCGCTCCGAGACGACATGCCTGGGTTGTGCAGATGCGCTGCGCAGCCACGCCCAGCACTAGGGCTTATTTTCATAACCACGCCCATCACCAGGGCTTATTTTCATAGCCACACCCATCACTAGAGCTTATTTTCATAGCCATGCCCATCACTAGAGCTTATTTTCATAGCCACGCCCATCACTAGGGCTTATTTTCATAGCCACGCCCATCACTAGAGCTTATTTTCATAGCCACGCCCATCACTAGAGCTTATTTTCATAGC